CAGACATTTGCTGAGCACACACCTTGTGCCAGGCTGGACCCTCCACAGACCCTGGGCAGAGGGTTCACATTCCTTCCAGTTCACAGGTGGAGACATTGGGCTCAGAAGGTTCTAGAACAACTAGCAAGAAGCTCAGAGCAAGGGCACTTTCTCTTGGGACATATATTCCTTGTTCCCCTTTGATCAGCGACATCCCACACATCCTCCAAGGCCTATCTCACATCCTGCAGATCAGCTTTCCCCACGGATCCCCCGACAGCCCCTGGGCAGCAGCAGCTGCTTCCACACTGAGGCCCCCACACCTTGAGCCTAAACTGTTATGATGGCCTCACCACCATGTACTGGCACTTTTCTGTCTCCCTCCCTGGGCTGCAAGCTCCTTGAGGAAGGGGGGCTGTGTCTTACTAATTTTTGCAACATAGTCTATAGCCTAGTGCCAAGTATACAGCAGGTGCTCAATACCCGAGTGTAGAGTGATTGATCTACTGAACTAACTTGACCTGATAGGGCCTGCCCACCCTATTAATTAAAATTAAATAAAGTTAAGAATTTGGATCCTCAGCTGCACTAGCCTCATTCCCAGGGCTCCATAGTAGTGTTAGTAGCTAGTGGTTCTGGACTGGACAGGGCAGAAAATGGACCCTTCCATCACTTCGGAGAGTTCTGCTGGACAGTGCTGCCCCCAAAAGCCAGTCCCCTGCTGGCCCCAGGCCCTGAGGTCTCTGGTGGTGTCCCCATTGCAGCTTGGAGCTCAGCCCAGGGATCCCCGGCCACCTTTGGCCCAATCTTTGAAGACCAGCCCCTCAGTCTGCTATTCCCAGAGGAGTCCACAGAGGAGAAGGTGACACTGGCTTGCCGTGCCCGGGCCAGCCCTCCGGCCACCTACAGGTGAGACCCCCACGGTGGGTGCTGGGAGGCCCTGGGCAGCCGTGGCTGGCAGGACTCAAGAGGCTCCTCTTCCGCCCCCGCTGCAGATGGAAGATGAACGGCACCGAGATGAAGCTGGAGCCGGGCTCCCGCCACCAGCTGGTGGGAGGCAACCTGGTCATCATGAGCCCCACCAAGGCCCAGGACGCTGGCGTCTACCAGTGCCTGGCCTCCAACCCCGTGGGCACTGTGGTCAGCAAGGAGGCTGTCCTGCGCTTCGGCTGTGAGACCCATGGGGTGCCAGGACACTCTGGGGGAGGGGGAGAGGGCAGGGAAAAGTGTCCAGAAAAGGCAGGTGACTGCCTTCCTGGAGGCTGAGCTGGGGAGGCCCGGGCCTGGAGAATGGTGCCTGAGCTCCGCCTGGTCTCCACTCCAGTTCTGCAGGAATTCTCCAAGGAGGAGCGAGACCCCGTGAAAACCCACGAAGGCTGGGGAGTAATGTTGCCCTGTAACCCACCTGCCCACTACCCAGGTGAGGCGGGACCCTGGCCCATGGTTAGACAGAGGGCACAGGAGGGGCTCCAGGCACTCAGAAGAGGAGGGATGGAATCAAAGGTGGGAGCAACTCTTGAAAACACTGATCCCTGGGTCCTCAACCTTAAGTGTCCTTAAGTGACCTTTATGGGTCTGTCATTTTCCAGTTCTGTGTCCTGCCTTCCCCTTCAGATGGGGAGTCCCTGGAGGCTCTTTCCCTGTCAGATAGCACTTCCCAAGGGCGGGAATAAAGTATAACCTTCCCCTTAGGTCTCCCTCAGCCCCAGCTCAGAGAAACAGGGGGAGGGTGGCTCTCAGGACAGGGTCTGCAGATCCCCACCAGCATGTTGGGGTCCCACCCAGAGTCTCCCATTAGCCCAACACCCCCTGGTATCCTCAAACTCCCCACATCCTAGGCCTGTCCTACCGCTGGCTCCTCAATGAGTTCCCTAACTTCATCCCGACGGATGGGCGTCACTTCGTGTCCCAGACCACAGGGAACCTGTACATTGCCCGGACCAATGCCTCAGACCTGGGCAACTACTCCTGCCTGGCCACCAGCCACATGGACTTCTCCACCAAGAGTGTCTTCAGCAAATTTGCTCAGCTCAACCTGGCTGCGGAAGGTCAGGGTCAGGCAGGTGGGAGGGGAGAGCTGAGAGGGTCAGTGGATGTGAAAAAGAGGGGTTTTCCCTCAGAGCTTGTGAAGAGCAGCTCACAGGGCACAGGGTCTGGGCCAAGACCCTTGGCCTCCTGCTACAAGACCTCAGACACTTGCCCCAGGTCCCCACGGGGAACAGGAGTTCAGATGGAGTTGGGTCTGAGCTGTGCTGAGATCCTAGCGTGGGAGCACCTGGACCGGACCCCTTGCATCTGATCTGCCAACCTGCTTTCTTCCCCAGATCCGAGGCTCTTTGCACCCAGCATCAAGGCCCGGTTCCCAGCAGAGACCTACGCGCTGGTGGGGCAGCAGGTCATCCTGGAGTGCTTTGCCTTTGGGAAGTGAGTGGTGGGGGAGGGAGGGAGCAGGCCAGGACAAGGGTGACCCCAGAGAGAAAGGGGGAGGCAGAGTCAGCACTCAGTCATCTTGGTGCCCCTCACAGGGTCTAGCAGAGCACCAGGCCCACGGTGGGCAGTCACCACCACTCGCCGAGCTCTCACCAACCTGCCTGCCTAGTTCAAATCCCAGCTCTGTCACTTGCTGGCTGGGAGACCTTGGGTAAATTACTTAACCTCTCTGTGCCTCAGTTTCCTTATTTGTACATGGTGATAATAATAGTACCTACTTCATAGGATCGTTATGAGGAGTCAATGAGTTAATATACACAAAGTGCTCAGAACAGTGCTTGGCATTTATAAGTGTTCTGTGGGTGCTAACAGTTATCTTTATAAAAATTGCAGGAGAAAGCATGCTTTCCCAGAAGAAGGGTTCACTGGAACAGGGCTAAGCAAATTGTGGGTGCTCAAGAAATGTTTATAGAATGAGTAACCACAAATATCTCCTATTTAAGGGTGCCGAGGTTGCCCCCTGCTTTGCAGAAAGTTATTGGGCTTCCAGAAAATCCATATTTAAAAACTCATTGACACCCCTCAGTCCATTTTAATACACAGATTACTAATAACTAAAGTCCCTTTGGAAAGTAGAGGCAAGACCTTGTTGGAGAGAGGGAAAGGGACCCATGAGGCCCAGGTCACAGGCCACTGTTGTGGAGGGCAGGCCCAGAAGAGGTAGGTGGGCAGTGCA